TCCGGAATCCGGAGATTTAAATAGGAGGCCGTTATGTATGTTTCTCCACCATATGCAGGCATTTTACTAAGCTGTTGCATACACGCAGTCCAGAAAATAGCAAATAACACAAGAGGAGGTAGAGAAAGTCGGCCGATTAAACATTCATAACATTGATCACAGTGAAGTTGAACTTCTCGTTCCCCTAAAAGGGAACTTCTTGTTCCCCTAAAACATATTGCTACAGAAATGTACAAACAACGCTTTGTTTGAGGAAACAAAAATCGGAAGAGGAAAAAATCACACTTGTGTCTCAACTTTTTAGTTAATATTTTAGTTTTCTGAGCGGAACTTCCGCTTTTTAAGTACACTGAGTGAATCAAAAGCAAAGCAGAACCGACAAAATGTACTCCTCTAGAGGAATTGAGTTGAGAAGACCACATATAAAAATAGATTATGCTAATTACAAAACTTATTTCCATAATTAGCGAGACAAATAGAAAAAAAAACATTAGCAAAGCTCTAAACATTTCAAGGAGGTGTGAGATTGAATTATTGTTTTCAGAATAAAAAAAATGCCTTGTTTACAGTCTATATTATTTCTTGTGTTTTACAGAGTACATCACTGCAGAGGATATTTGTTCATTTCTAAACAACACAGTATACGTGAGACATCGTACGTTCATTGGACACAGGGGTTTTCTTTTACACAACCAAGATAGTTACCTTGCTGACGTTTCGGTGATTTAAGCTACGGTCACAACCCGCCGTACGTGCTTCTTCTGCGTGCTGTCTACGTGCAAAAACGTTGGCAAACGCAGGGCATCCGTGCGTGGTGAGTACCGCCTCCGTACGGAATCCTACGGATTTGGGAGCACGCAGACACGCCGTAGAACTTCAAGTGCATGTAAAACTTTTTCTGCGTGCGGTCTACGGATTCACCACCCGTGCGTGCGAGTACGAGCGACGCGCGTGCCGTGCGGAAGAAGCACGTGTGAGTGCGGCCTCCTTGCGGTAATGTTGCAATCGCACATATCGTACGTTGTAAGCACGTACAACTCAATTACCACTTGCGCAACGTACGATGCACGCAACCGCTCAAAACCAGACTTGGCGAGCAGACCACACTCTTACACTTTGCGCAACCGTACGAGTGACGTGCGTCGATGCCACTCCTTCCCCACGTTTTCAGAAAAAACGTAGCAGACGTACGTAGCCTCCCAAAAAACGTACGGACAAAAAGCACGTACGGCGGGTTGTGACCGAGGCTTATCAGACACCTTCCTTAGAGCTTCTGAACCACCTACATCGGCTACATATAGCGGCGAGAAGCAGAACTCTAGTCAGACGCTCTGCGTCTGAGGAAGGTGGCTGATAGGCACCGAAACGTTAGCAAGGTAACTATCTTGGTTGTGTAAAAGAAAACTTCTGTATCCTATACTTTACCAACCTGATTTTCAGAAATGTCAAAGTTCATAGTCTATAACATAATCGTCTTGAGCACTTACGTACTTTTTGCTACGTTTCGCTTCTTCTTTTTTTAAAGTAGATGCGTTTGTAACTCTCCGCTCAATATTCTGTTTATAGACATATACCATGTCTTTTTTTTATTCCAACATGAAATCACAAGACGTGGTGACGGCACACTCAAGTTTTTTAAAACTTATATTAATGCCGCCACCAACACAGGGGACAATACAATACCC